TGATGGAATGAAAAGCTAAAACACCCATAAAAATATAACACAGTTGGAGATTACTACCTTTAAAGAGATGCAACTTTATGTCTCGAAGAACACATAAATCTCATAGATTGAAACTCATCCACCTCAAAAAATACTATTCAAGGTTTACGTGCCAACACTTGTTTTTTTTATCATTACTACTACTCCTACCAAGAAACCAGTAAAGTAAAACCTATTGACGATCTGAAAAAACTCAGTTTAAAGTGAAACATCGTGACTTGACTTACTCTGGATTTTCATATTTTTGTTTTTATTCAGAACACCAACCTTGGATCCACAACTCCTAAAGCATTGCCTTCACCGGTTAAAATCTGTTCAGGATCCTAAGAGAGAGACACACACATAGATATGATTATCATTTCAAGTTCATTCATAATCGTGTGATTGATTATAGATTGGAAAAGCTTATTATACCTCCATTCCCCATTTGATGTAATCTGGAGACTCACATGCCTTATGTTCATCTACCAAACTCACAATTACGTCCCTTGATTCATCAAACTCTGAAAGATCATTGTCCTATCCATATCCACATGATTTCAACATTTAATGGACAAAGTTTGGTTGCACTAAACATCAACCAAAAACAAAGACAAGCGGTCAACTTACATCAAACATGGGGAACTTTCGGTAATTGTCAAGAAAAGCTTGCTTCTTCCTCAATTTGTCATATTGGCTCAAACATTTGCTGAAAAGGTGCCTGATACTAGTGTGATTTGCTAACATAAGACCACTGACCTGAATATGTCAAACACAACCAAACTATAAGAGTCTTCTATTGTGACTTCTAAAGCAACAACTGGCGGCATTAATTGTATGGAGTACCAACTCTCAGCAAGACAGATAAGTCTTATATATATAGAGCGAGATAAGATTACCCTATGGGCAGTTTGAACATATGGGGACTTCTTGGAAAGCGCAACCTGAAGATGTGGAAAAAATTGTGATGCAAGTTCAGGGTCAAGTTATAAACAAGACACAGTTTGGTTTGGTTAAAAACCTGTATGCTTGCAGGTCCCCACTCAATGAAGTTAACAAGCTTTCTTTCTCGTATCCTCTGCAAACTCTCATGCACCTAGAGTATAAAGTAGTGAAACAAGAGAGCAGATCACATCAACAAGACAGGAGTATTAACCGATTCACTCGTGCTACCTAGCTCTCAAGTCTCAATAAAGAAACCTGTTAGGTGGCAGAGCAACAGTACCTGAGTGGGATCAACTTCTCCTTGAATTATATTCAATATTGATATGTACTTTGCCTGACTAGCTTCTTTGTTTCTAGAATAAGATGAAACCATGATATTTTTTGGCTGCGAATACAATCATGTTAGAAGAAGATCTGATTCAAGATCCGGAAAAGATAGGAGAAAGGAAACAGCTCACCTGTAGAAATCTTCTCATAACATCCAGCACAGTAGTTTTACGAATAACATTTGCCTGCCAAGAAAAGTTCACTTAATCAATAAAATGGAACATTCCAAACTTATGCGGCTTTAAAAATGCAACATACACTTTCAGATTCAATGTTGAAAATACAACAATAGCCTCCCATAAAATGATTTCGTGACTGATGGTGTATTATTAAACACTTACCTGACGCTCAATAGTCAAGGGTGTGTATCCTGTCATGAGGAAGTGACACTTTGATGTTGGGATCAAAGATGCAAGCAAGCCAACCAAGTCATTATTCATGTATCCTGGATAACACAATGTTGTTGTGCTAGCAGACATAGACATGGCAGTTGACACTAACGAATTCATTTGAGTAACGGAAGGCTTATCTAGATGTAGACGCTCCGCAGCTATTCTATTCAATGCAGTGTTGTCGAGGACAACAACACAATCAGCATTTAATGTAAGTCGCTTCAGCGTCAACAGTGAGTTGTAGGGCTGGACAACTACATCACTTGTATCCCCTGTCTGGTTGGGGAATACACTGTATGTATGAACCAACTTCTTGCTATAGCGATCATTCAAAGTCTCCAATAGATAAGATCCCATACCTTCATCATCCGAACAAAAAAAAATAAGTCATGAATAAACCAGAGAAGCTTAACTCAGAATGCCTACAAGTCAAGTCTCATAACATGACTTATCAATCAACAGACGTACTGCAAACTCGACACCATAACGGAATGACTATTAATCTAAAATAAGTTTTAAAAAAAAAATGAGTACCGGAGCCAGTTCCTCCAGCAATGGAGTGGCAAAGAACAAATCCCTCAAGACTATCACTTCCATCAGCTTCTCGATTTATCATGTCCATGATTTCCTCTTCAACACCCATTCCCTGGCCAAATTTAGCAATTGAAGAAAACAATGAGATACCATATTGTTGTCATGACAAACATGAATCGAAACAAACAAACCTGATGATATCCACTGGCCCAGTTATTTCCAGCACCGCCACCGTCTTTGCAACAGAAGATATTCTCATGATTATAAAGATTCCTGTATTCACCAGCCTGAATACCACTGATGACTCTAGGCTCCAATCAATGAGCAGAGCTCGTGGTATATAGTGCTGGTCATCAGCTTGGTAAAAAAACACATCTTTTCTATCACCTCCCTGGACACAGATATCATCAAATCCAAAACCACTCTTATCAATCCAAATCTTAATTTGCTTTTCTTAGCACATGATCAGAAACTACTAAGAAGCCAAAATCAGAAATGACCAAACAAACCAAATTTCACCGGCTATGGTATTCAATTTATCGAACTTAATAGAAACCCAGAAACGATTTCGAAGCAATTGATACAATTCAGATGAGTCCAGTACACAGTAGGAATCAGAACAAGGACCTGAGTAGCCAAGTCCTCGAGAATACCATCTTTACTAATCCCGTGCTCCAGACAAAGTTGTTTCCAAAACTCCATCTCGATCTGGTTCCCACATTGTCCCACTTGCAGTGTAATAATCTCCCTCGGCATCTTCTGAAAACATGTTCTTCTTCTTCGGAGACAAAACAAACTAGCGTTTCCAC